ACTTAAATCTAATTCACCCAGAAGTCGAGACATCACCCTGTGATGTCATTAGTTCTCATTGAAAATGAAGGACAAAGAACAACAATAACAATAACAATGTGGACACTCCGCTTTATAAGTATGTGATCCAAGAGAGGTATTGTAGACCTCTCTGTAATCAAAATGAGGAAACTGTGATGGGAATCTTTCATCTTCCTTTTATTACGTTTTTTTATGCCATTTCTCAAAGATGTTTGGTGGACTCTTTCTCCACTAATGTTAACCTCACTTGGCTAAAAATCTGACTCATGGAAGGGGGCAATCTCCAACTGTCCTGATCTATATCTTGCCACTGGACCCAGATGGTTCTGGAGGAGAAGGTGAGGCTGGTGACTGCACAGTCCTCCCTCGCTTAAATCCAATTCACTTGCAAGTCATGGCATCACCTTCCTGATGTCATGGTCCTCTTCGAGAACGAAGGACAAACACTGACTCATAGAATGGTAGAATCAAGGGAAGACTTTTTTGACATTCTTCAGATAAGAAGCCAAAGTGGAGTCTGAGCATCCCAAACTGATCTAATTATTTGTGGAGGGATTTACCTGACATTGACTCTGTAGGCATGTTCAATTTTTATGACTTTGAAGGAAGTATGGGATTATGAGTCTATCTTTTTAACTTTTATATCCTAAAAAAAGTATAAGACTGACATATGTAAAAGAATTTATTTCTCTGTCTCTCTGATGTAATTTTGTCTATAAAAACCTTCTTAGAATCCTAATTTTGGTTCAAAGTTATTTTTTTTCTGAATCCTGAATCTGTGCTTAAGCATAATAAAAAACCCTAGGTTTTTACTTCTATAATTTTTGTGTTGTGGTAGATTTATTTGTTAGTGGTGGTCTACCACATGAGTTTAAAGAGGAGATACCTCTGCCACAACAAACACGTTTATTAAGGGCTTCTTTACTATGTGTCAGGAACTGTGCTAGGTTCTGGAGATACAAATGCAAAAGGCAGACAGTCCTGGTCATCAAGGAACTTACATTTTAGTAAAGGAATACAATATATCGGAGAGTAGGGGCCAGGGAAGGGAGGTCTTTTCTCAGAGATTACCTCCAATTTACCTTGTATATGTCTTATATGTATATAAATTGTCTCCTCATTAGAATGTGAGCTCCTTGATTTCAGGGACTGTTTTTGTCTTTCTTTGTATCCTCAGCACTTAGCACAGAGCCTGGCACATAGTAGGTACTTCATAAATGCTTGTTGGCTTTACTTGTTGACTTGGGGAGTCACAGGAATTATTAGTGAAGTTATAGGACAAATCTATTATCACACCCTTTCCAGTAGCGATGATAGCAATTATTCATTATTGTTCCCAAAGCAAGAGTAAGAGGTGGAAAGTGGGGAATGAGTGTGTGGTGAGGAACACGTGTAATAATAGAGAAGACAGCAAGATATCCTCATTGGATAGGTCTTGGTTCTTTGGTGGGGTGATGGATGGGATGTAAAGTATGGTCTGGAAGGAGCTCCATGAAGTCTTCCTTTTACTTTCTTGATCCCCTCAGCTGAAAGTCATCTCTCTTGCCCCAAATTTTCTTAAAACATGTTGGTGCTTCTCTCTTTTGCTCCAAAAACTTTTCACCTTTTATCACATTTATTTATTTACATGTTGTATGCTGTCTAATTACAAGTGCTTTGAGAGTATGGACCACATCAGGTTTTTGGAGATCCATTTTTATACACTCGGGCCCTTGGCAAATGTTGTTGAATGAAATTCTATCTTTATTGATCCTAAACCCATATCTTCAAGGTTATCCTTTTAGATTCATTCAACAAGTATTTACTGAGCTATTACTTTGTGCAAAGTACTAATAGTGGAAAAATAACTAGACTTATACTCTGAAGACCTCGGTCTTCACACTGTAGTCGCTTCTCTCAGCCTCGGTTTCCTTATCTGTAAAATGAGGGGATTGGACTAGATGATCTTTAAGTTCTCTTCCAACTCTTTGACCTTGTGATGTTAAGGTTATACACTTACACACATTCAACAAACATTTTTTCATGATCACTTTGTGCAAAGCACTGTGTCAGGTGGGGTCATGGAAGGAGAACAGGTATCAACTCTGAAGACCTACTGGCTGCCTGCATGAGTTGGGCAGCTGCTTAATGTTTCTGAGCCTTCCTTCGTTTGTAAAACAAGGTCTTTGGACTAGATATTTTCTAAGATCCATATAAACTCTAAATCCAATGAGCCAAGTTGTGTACAGTGATGAATAAAATATTAGACATCCTCAGGAACTTACTTGAAAGAGCAATATTGATTTTTTAAAAGATCTGTAATACGATATAGTATGTAATTAAGTGGCAGGAAAGGACCACAGAGTAGGGAAAGATTACTTCCAGTTAGGATCAGGGAAAGATTTATGGAGAAGTTGTGATTTGAGGTGGGCTTTAGGGATTGGCTAATATTTTTGCAGATAGAGATGGGGAGATGAGACTTCAAATAGAAGCAAACAAAAGCAAGGTGTGTTCAGCAAAGATAGAAGTAGTCTAGTTTGGATAGAGTATGGAACATATAAGTTTTGTGTGGTATAGAAGGAAGGGTATGAGAAATGTTCTCGAGGTAGAATTGTCAAGGTATGGAGACCAGTTGGATATGTGTAGTGAGGGACGGTGATGATTTGATAACACAGACAGTATAAACCTGAGCAACTAGGAGGATGGTGGTTCCTTTCAATAGCAATAGTGAAATCCAGAAGGTGGTGAGATTTTGGGGAAAGATAACGAATTCTGTTTTGGACATGTTGGATTTGAGATATTTTTGGGACATCTGGTTTGATGTATCTAATAGGCAGTTGGTGATGTGGAACTGGAGCTCAGGAGAGCTTTGGGCTGGATTTACAGATCTGGGCCCCATAACATTACAAGGCCTCCTTTGTGAGGTCTGTCATTGCTCCAAAGGAGTCAGCCTAGCATTTCTTCACTTCCTTTTCTGTGAGAACTCATTCAGAAAAAACTAAATCGATGAAAAAGGTTGATCGTACTGACTATTTCATGTAATTCAATCCATCAGTTAATCAAAAAACTGCCTACTGTGTGCCAGGAACTGGGGGATAGGTTAGGAATGGGGGCAGGACCCCATGAGTAATTGCCAGTTGTGCTGAAACTGAATCTCTCACAAGAGACTCTGGTTCTTTGATAGCTGACCTTTCTCCTCCCGTCCCCCCTCCCATCGTGGTCTCCAATCTGTTGAGCAAAATCCCAGTTTTTTTTTCCACCCACAGAATTTCAAATCTGGTCAGCCATTTCTCTCAGTGCCTGAGGTCCTAGAGTTACAGCTCTAATTAGTATAGTTAGGTATACTGTGCCATATTTCTACCCCTTAAACTTGATATGGTTAACACTGAAAGCACCTTGTTTTTAAAATATTATAAATAAAACATTTCAATAAATATGCTCTTTATTGTGGTGTACAGAATTGCAGTTTAATGACAATTTTTAAGAGTTTGACCCTACTTGTATAAAATGATACATACAAATACATATAAGACATTGCAAACGGAATGCCTTGCAAGGACCCAGGAAGAACCATTTTCTTACATCTTACTCCTCCCAAATGCTCTGAGATGCGTGAGGTTCCTCAAACACGACTCCATCTGGGGGGTCCGGAGCATTTTCCTTGGCCGCCGTCCATGTCTGGAATGCTCTCCCTTCTCACCTCTGCCTCCTGGCTTCCCTGAAATCCCAATGTAAGCCCCACTTTCTGCAAGAAGACTTTCCCAGTTCTCCTTAATCTTAGTGCTACCCCTCTGAGACTATCTCCAACGTACACACAGTTGTTTGCATGTTGTCTCCCCCATTAGACTGTGAACTCCTAGAGAGTAGGGACTGTCTTTTGTCTTTTTTTGGGGGGGGGAAGGGGTATTCTCAGCATTTAGCACAGTGCCTGGTACATAGCACGCCCTTAAAACATTTTTGTTGACTCTACTTGATTTGACTTGTATTGACTTTTAGAGCTGGAAGGGACCTTAGGAAACATGGAGACCAAGGCCCTTATTTTACAGTTGAGTAAACTGAGGATGTGCAAGTAAATATTTAACAACCGGCTCTGGTGGTGGTGGTGGTGATGGTGGTGGTGTTTGGGACTATACACAGGACACACACTTTTCTGTTTATTCTGAATTATTAACGTTTCCTCCATCCCTTTCTTACGTCTAGCCAATCAACAAAACACTAAATCAAGCTCTGATTTTGTAGTTTTTGTCGATTTCTGAGGTGTAAATGCTCACCCTGAAAATGGAACACTCCAGCCCCGCCCCCCCCATCCTTTAACTTCAAGTTCAGGGCTCTGTCTACTGCACCCCCTATACCACCTCTGAAAACCAGTGGTGTGGGTGTCCCCTCCCTCCTTCCCGCAAAAAGGCCCTTGCATTTTAAACCGGGCAGGGCTGAAAGGACTAAATGCATTTCAAGAAGGATAAACCAGTAACTTTATTTTACATATAAAAATTGCATTATATTTAATATACCTAACATATACACGTATTACATATGTGTAATATTTCATATTACATCATACATATTTCACACACAAACATATTTCATATTATATTCCCAAACCAAAACCCAATTCGTTCTGTCCCTAGAAGGCTCCGGGAGCCCCGGGGCAGCTCCGCCCACCGGGGAATGTGGGAGGGCACTGCGCGCCCCGCCCCCTCGCGGATGGCCCCTCCCGGGGCGGGGCTTGGGAGTCACGTGAGCGTCCGGGGCGGGGCGCGGGCTCAGGGCGGCCCCGCCCGGGCAGGACCTGCCGCGTTGGTTGGCTGGCGGTAACCTTTACCCCCGTGCCCTCGGTCAGGTGCTCGGCGGCGGGAGCCTCGCTGCCGCCTGAGCCGCTACCGTTGCCGCCGGGCCGGGCGTGCGGATGGAGGGCGCGGGCGCGGGCGCGGGCGCGGAGCCGCAGCGGGAGCGGGAGCGGGACCGGGAGCGGGAGCAGCAGCAGCAGCAGTTCACCTACCAGGTCTTCCCCGAGCGCCTGCCGGATGCCAAGCGGAGCTTCCTCGCCACCAGCTTCTTCACCCACAACCAGAAGTGCCAGCTGATGCTCCTCAAGGCGCTGGATCGAAGTAGGCGGCCCTGGGGGTCAAAGGCCACGGGGCCGGTGGGACTCGGTGGCCGCAGCGGGGGGTGGGGAGGACGGAGACGTCCTTGGCTTCCATCTCCTGCCCGGCGTCCCTCCAGAGCGTCCCGAATTTATGCCTTTCGGGTCAAGGCTGGGTCTGTCCATCCCCAGGTCAGGCCCCTCGCCTGCCGCGTGGGAGGCCGAGGCCCAGCCCGGAGAAATGACTGGCCCAGGGTCACCGAGCGAGTAGGTGTGGTAGTAATATACAGTAATGCTAGTTAACGTTTATATAGTGCTAATTCTGTGTCCCGCTACATGGGGGGGTTACACATCTCATTTAATTCTCACACCAACAGTATTGTCCTCATTTTACAGATGAGAAGACTGAGGCAGGAAGAAGTTAAGTGACTTGCCCAAGGTCACACAGTGTTAGACTGGAAACCAATTCTCATGAATCCAAGATCAACACTTTTCACTAGTTACTGAGGTCTTAGATTAGTTAGGGATTGGAGAGGGGAGTAATTGATTTTTGTTTGTTTGTTTGTTTGTTTTTGGCTAGGCAATGGGGTTAAGTGACTTGCCCAGGGTCACACAGCTAGTAAGTGTTAAGTGTCTGAGGCCCGATTTGAACTCAGGTCTTCCTGAATCCATGGCTGGTGCTCTTTCCACTGCCACCTAGCTGTCCCGGAGTAATTGATTTTTAAAAATTATTAATATCTTTTGTGTTACATCACCAATACTTCCCAACATATTCCTCTGCACTCCTATCTCCCAAGGAACCATTCCTTACAACAAAGAATAAAAAAGTGGGGGGAAAACAGTCCGGCAAAATGAACCAACACATTAACCAAATTGGACACATGAGATTTTCTCCCTCTTCCCTCCCCACTAAAGAGGACAAAAGAAGGGAAGGAGAGCTTTCTTATGTTTTCTTTGGGGCCAACTTTGGTCATTACAGCTTCACAGCCCTCACTTTCATTTCTTTTTCCTTTTTTTTTTTTTTTGCTGTTTGTTCCAGTTACATGATTATTAAAGTTATATATATTGTTTGCTGGGCTCTGCTTACTTCGCTTTGCTTCACTTCACATGACTTTTCATGCTTCTTTGTAGTCATCGTATTTATTGTCTGTCACAGTACTGTAATGTTCCATTACGTTCATGTCTGATAATTTGTTTAGTCATTAATTGTGCCCCATCAAGTCATCCACTTTGTTTCCTGTTTTTTTTTTTTTATAACCACAAAAAGTGTTACTACAAATATTTTAGTGTATATATTTTTACCTTCTTTGAGGTGGCAGAGTGAATAGAACACTGGGCTTGGAATCAGGAAGACTTATCTTCCTGAGTTCAAGTCCAGCCTCAGACACTTACTAGATGTGTGACCCTGGGCAAGTCACGTCACCCTGTGTGCCTCAGTTTCCTCATCTGTAAAATGGGCTGGAGAAGGAAATGGCAAATCACTCCAGTATCTTTGCCAAGAAAACCCCAAATGTGGTCACAAAGAGTTGGACACAACTGAAATGAGTCAACAGCAACAGTAACAATGGGCACATTAGTCACTTTCTTAGCATAATTCCCTAGAAAGGTACTCAAAGGTCATCTATTCCAACCCCCGTCTCCAAAAAAAAAAGAAGAAATGATTAGAATGTCCTGGGTATAGTCATTTATCCTCTGCTGAAACATCTCCTAGTGATGGAGGCTGTTCCTTTTTTGGACAGCTCTCAGTATTAGGAACTTCTTCCTCATATGTAACTTGTAACTTAAACCAGCAGCACAGAATATTAAAGTTGGAAAGGGCCTTGGTGGCCATCTAGTTTAACTCATGCCCAAAAAGGAATCTTCACTATAACATACTCATCAAGCATCATCTAGCCTCTACGTGAAGACATCTAATGAGGGGGAATCCCTGACCTCCTGATGTATAGGATTATGGATTTAAAGCTGGAAGGGACCTCAGAGATCTAATCTGATTTCCTCATTTCACGGATGAGGAAACTGAGTCCAAAAGAGGAGTTGAGATTTGGTCAAGGTCACATAGGTAGTGAGAGAGCAAGGATTTATTTTTTTATTTTTTTATTTTTTAGGCAGTTGGGGTTAAGTGACTTGCCCAGGGTCACACAGCTAGTAAGTGTTAAGTGTTTGGTCTGAGGCCGGATTTGAACTCAGGTCCTCCTGACTTCAGGGCTGGTGCCCTATCCATTGTGCCACCTAGCTGCCCGAGAGCAAGGATTTAAACCCAGGTTCTTTCATACTGACTCAGTAATGTGCTGTGCATCTTCTTTCAATTTTGAGTAGCTCTCGTTGTCAGGAAGTTTTTTTCTGACATCAGGCCTAAATTTGCCTCAGTTTCTGCTTATTGCTTCTGGTTCTGTCAAATGGAACAAGTCAAATCCCTCTTCCTCAGGATTGTCCTTCACATACTTGAAGGCAGCTGACACGTCTCCTCTGAGTTTCTTCTAGTTAACCATCCCCAGTTTCTCCCACTGATCCTCGTATCTCACGGCCTCTCTCTGTTGTGCCCTCCTCTGGCTGGTCTCCAGTTTATTAAGGCCTTGCTTAAACGGTGGCACCTAGAACTGACCATAGTATTGAAGGTGTGATCTGACCAGGGCAGGTTACTGAGGTCCTGTCACCTTCTATTTCCTGGTAGTTAGGCCTGATAATGTCACCCTGCTAATTTACATTGAGCTGTTGCTGTTTGTCCTTCATTGAAGAAGATCATGACATCAGGGAGGTGATGCCATGATGTGCAAGTGAATTGGATTTAAATGAGGAAGGGCTGTGCAAAGTCACCAGCCTCACTTTCTTCTCTGGAGCCATTTGGGTCCAGTGGCCAGATATAAATCAGGTTGACTGGAGATGGCCTTGGATGCAATGGGGGACCTTGGCCTTTTCAAGCTAAGGTCTTTAACAGGTCTCAGTTTGACTGAGGCAACACCCATTCAGTGATTAAGGTTTAATAAGAATTGAGGCAGAGAAAGGCCTCTTTATCTAGTCAAAAATTGAAAAGAAAAAAAAAATAAAATTAAAAAATCAAACTGGGAGGGGAAGACCCTCAGGGTTTCTCTGCATTGAGCTAGGAGCCCACCAGACCCCAGATCATTTTCAGACAAACTGCAGCCTAAGCCTGTTTTGTCTTGTAAAGATGATTTTTTTGAACCAAAGTCTAAGACTTTACATTTCTTCCTGCTGAATTTCATCTTAGGGTTTTAGCCCAGTGTTTTAGCCTTTCAAGATCTTTGTGGATGCTGATTGGCATCTGGTGTGTTAGCTTTCCTTTGACTGAATCCAAACTTCACAGAACAAATCCCCTTAATAAAAGGATTTATTCTGTAAAACTTGGACTCAGTCAAAAGGCCACACTCACGGACCTAAAGGCCACCTGTGGCCTCGAGGCTGAAGGTTCCCCACCCCTGTTCTAGTGCAATGGTCTCCAGACTTTTGACCACACGCTAAAAATCTTTTGGATCTGCACCTTCAATATATTTATACTTATTTATAAATTATAAAAATTTGTAACCAAACTACTAATAGCATACATGATAAGACTTCACCAAAATGGAATTTGAAAAGGATAAGATAACAATGAAATAACATTTGATCTTAGAGTCATTGGGAGCCACTGGAGTTTATTGAGTAGGGGAGTGACGTGGTCAGTCCTGTGCATTAAGAAAGTCTCTTTAGCAGCTGCATGGTGGATGTGTGGGAGGGGGAGGAGAGTTGAGATGGCAGTAACTAAGGCTAAAGCAATAGTCTGGGCTATAGGTGGTGATGGCCTCAATTAGGGCAGGGGATGTGTGAGTGGAGAGGAGAAAACGGAGAGATGTGGAGGTAGGTATGAGCAGAGTGAGCAACTGCTTGGATATGTGGGGTCTGGGGGAGTGAGGAGTCATGCATAACAGGTTGTGAAGCCAGGAGGCTGGAAGGATGTTGGGGCCTTTAATAGAAATTGGGAAGTTTGGAAGGGGAGTATATTTAGGAGGAAAGATGTGCCTGCTCGTGGCTTGGGGGCGTCACTCACTGACCAATGCCCTGGAGCAGGGCCCGCCACTAAGGGGTCCGTGATGCAGGGCATGAGCATGCTGCAGCCTGAGGCCTGGGGGAGCTTGGAGAATTGTGTGTGTGGGGCTGCTTTGAGTATAAGGATCTGAGGGATCCTCCCTAAACGGGAGGGAGAGGAATGATTGTGTGCAGACGAGTCCATGATAAGTTATGGGGAGGAGGGTGGTGTATAACCCATCTTTTCACCCTTCCCTTGGGTGATCACATCCCCACTTTGGGAGACAAAGGGCCTAGTCCACATCTCTCTTGTCTTTTTCTGCAGGAATGGTACGAGATAGCTCTACTTCGGGAGCATTTAGACCATCCACTTCCTCTTCTGCATGACAACTCATCAATTATTTGATAGTGACGTGAATGAGGCAGTCATCACAAGACAGCAGTTCTGTACCTTCTCAGTCTTCTTCAGAAAGATTAAAATCTCCCCTTCCCTCATCTGTTCTTCATAGGAAGTGGGTCCCAAGCCCCTCATGTCTTGGCTCTCTGCCTTTACACCCTCTCCAGTTTGTCACTGTGCTGCCCCAGACTGGACACAAAACTGCTCACATGGTCTGACCATTGTCGGGCACAGTGAGACTATTCCTACCCTTAATTTGGATCCTGAACTCTCATTTGATGAACTTGTATTTCCTGCAGGCATTAGCTTTTTAACAGCCGCATCACATGCTTTGCCTTTTCTTGCCATCCACGTGAATCATGTCATGCACAGTAAAGTCTTAAGACCTTTGATTCTTTTGACTGCAGACCAATGTAAAAGTACACCTGGTTCTGCTCAGGATTCTTGCTGGAGATGAGTTTGGTATTGGTATCAATGTTTTACCTAAATAACATTTGTATTGATGAGTTGGTATTCTCAAATTTTCATTCCTCTCTTATTCTAAGGCAGCACTGTACATCTTAGGGGCACATGAGAGCTGTATTTGAATACTAGGTGGGTTGTCATGCGGAAGAAGCAGCATTAGCTCTGTCCTGATGGCCCCCCCAGGGCAGAACTAGGCTGAAGTGGGTGGAAGTAGCTAAGAGGCAAATACAGACTTGAGGTAAGGAGAAATTTCCAAACAATTAGAGTGATCCAACAGTGCAGTGGGGTGGGGGTGGATTCCCATTTATCGTAGGGCTGCCGACCAAGTTAAGTGACCATTTGGTCATTATTCTGTCCAGGGGATTCATATCTGTAAAGGTAGTTTGGACTAGACAGGTGAGGTCCCTTCCCAGTCTGAAATTCTGTACAGTCTGTGAAGTTAGTTGTTATGGGTAATTTAGTTTTTGATAACATCATGTACTGTTTTTTGGTAATTCCACTCGTTGCATTTTTTAACCTAGTGTAATTGGCTCCGTATCATTCTAGGTCCATATGTCAAGCTTCTGTTGGATGCTATGAGGCGTTCTGGTTGGTAAGCAGATCTTTTCCAAGTACAGTTTTACATCCTGGCTCCAAAAAGCAGAAGATCACTTAAGATTTCTCACTGTATGCCATGTAAATACCTGTTTATACCACTGTATGCCCTTTAAACATGACAGACGGGTGTGATCTGTATACAGTCACAGAATCACAGAGTTGGAAGAGGCCTCTCTGCAATGCTGGCTCTCTGCCTATCTTCTGCTTTATTTATAAACTCCTGACCTGCCTTACATCATGTCTAACAAAGAAAACATTCAGAATCTCCTTCTAGATAACTTTGAGCTATAGCCTCCCTTCTGGCCTTAGGGGGGGAAAATTTCAACAAAGATCAGGGGGTCTGTGAACTTATATTTTTTCCCAAATATTTCTATTACCGCATTTCAGTATAATTGGCCTCCTTTGTAATCCTGTGTATTTTATTTTATACATTAAAATCCTTAGTCTGAGAAGGGGTCTATAGGCCTCACCACCCTGCCAAGGGCATTCTTAACACAGAAAACATAAGAATGCCCAAACTAGATCTTTAGTTGGCTTCATTATGGGGCCATCTAATGGTGGCTGGTGAGATAAACCTCAGAATCACATCCCTGCATCCATCACTTCCTCTGTCTGGTGCCTCTTCTCATTTCAGCTTTAATCACAGGGCCAGATTGTACACACACACACACACACACACACACACACACACACACACAAAATATGTTACTGCTAGGTATAGCCTTTCCTTTAATACATATACTCTTTCCTTTTAGCACTGTTTACAGAGAGAGACACTTTTCTTGTGAAGATTGTAATGGCAATGTCAGTGGAGGTTTTGATGCTGCCACGTCCCAGGTAGGAGTTAAATGTTGGATCACTTTTAGTCAGCAAACTCTTGATGAGCACCTACTCTGTGTGTGTGTGTGTGTGTGTGTGTGTGTGTGTGTGTGTGTGACTGACTGTGGGTCATATAAAGGTGAACAGGACCCATCACAGTTTTTGAGGATCTTACAGGAGACTAGATGCAGATACATCAATATAGCATAGAGTAGAGTGTGATACGTGCCCCAACAGAGATGCACAGTGCTGAGGCAGGTTAGAGGAAAGATTTGGCACTTCTAGCTTGGGGGAGGCTGTGTTTCCATTGGGCCTTATAGGATGGGTAGGATTTTAAGAGATGAAGTTGGGGGTGCAGAGCCTCAAATAGAGGGAGTCATGTGAATTAATGTGTAGAGATAGAAAAGCTTAGGGTGTTGGGGGTGTAGTGAATGTTCAATTTGACCACCGTATAAGGAAGTTGTAAGAAATAAGGTTTGAAGGGGGTGGGACAAGATCTTAGATTACTTGGAATGTTGGGCTAAGGAGCACATTTCTTTCATCATGTTATTTATTTAAATGTTTGTTAACTGGCTTTGAGTGAATGACTTTTTGGCAGATGATGGGAATCATTGAAGATTTTTGAGGTGGCAAGTGAAATGATTTGTGTTATTCTTTAGGACAGATAAATTAGAGGGGGAAGAGCCTGGAAATATGAAAATCAATAATAATAGCAGCTCACATTCACATATTATCTGATTTGATCTTCATAACGACTGTGGGAGGTACATACTATTATTATTTTCATTTTACAGATGGAGAAACAAAAGGTCAGGGGCAGCTAGATGGCATAGCGGATAGAACACTGGCCCTGGATTCAGGAAGACCTGAGTTCAAATGTGGCCTCAGACACTTGATACTTACTAGCTGTGTGACCTTGGGGAAGTCACTTTACCCCTATGTTTTGCCGAAAAACAAAAACAAAAATGAAACAAAAAAAAAAAAGAAAGGAAAGCTCAAAAAGCATAAGTGACTTAGAGTCATAAAGGTAATAAGGATTTGAACTCAGGTCTTCCTAACTGAGTCAGGCCTCCACCAGACCACCAGGCTTCCTTAAGAGGTTATTGATCTAGGCCAGACCAGAAGAAATGGGGGCCTGCATTAGCATGGTGACAATGAGTCATTGATTGTTGGAGCTGGAAGGGACCTTCAAGATCATATAGTCCTGCACCTTGTTTTTCAGATGAGGAAATTAAGGCCTAGAGAGGTTAGTAATTTGTTTTACCCAAGCTTACACAGAAGGTTGCTGGCAGAATCAGGACTAGAAGTCAGGTCTTCTTATTTCGACTGTGTCTTATTCCTCCGGTGGGGATAGAAACAGGGAGACAGCAGTGAGGTGCTGTGGAGAATTGAACTTGGAGTCAGGAAAAACCATGATTCACATCTGCCTCTGAGAATTCTTAGCTACATTAGCATGGACAGATCACTCAGTTACCTTATCTGTAAAATGGGATTAATATCTGTGGTAGGCAGCTTGGTGGTGCAGTGGATAGACTCCTGGGCCTAGAATCAGGAAATCTGCATTCAAATCTAGTCTTAGGCTGTTAGTAGCTGTGTGAATCTGGGCAAGTCATATGACTTCTCTCTACCTCAGGACCTTCATCTGTATAATGGGGCAAAGTGAGAAATGTGGGGCTGGAACTTGGAAATGGGTTGCAGTTTCAGATGAATGGAAGTATGTAGAGGGGTAGATCTTTTTTTTTTGTTTTTTTGTTTGTTTGTTTTGACTAGGCCGTGGGGTTAAGTGACTTGTCCAGGGTCACACAGCTAGAGAGTGTTATGTGTCTGAGGCTGGATTTGAACTCAGGTCCTCCTGAGTCCAGGGCTGGTGCTCTTTCCACTGCGCCACCTAGCTGCTCTCGAGGGGTAGATTTTGACTCAACATAAGGGAAAATTCTTAACAGTTAGAGTTGTCCCAGAATAGAATGAGCTATCTCAGGAAGGAACCAGTTCTCCATCGCTAGATCTCGTCAGATAGATGCTGTATGCCTGCTTGTCGGGGGTAGAGGGGGAGGGATTCCTGTTAAGCTATGGATTAAATTAGATGGTATCTGACTTTGTTTACATTACTGAGATTCTGTGCTTCTGAGATGGACAGGTCACATCTGGAGATCGAATTTAGTGGGGAGAGTCAGGGAGTAATCCACAGAGATGATAGTTGAAGTTCTGGAAACGAATGAGAGAAATGAATAGAGGGTAGAAAGAGAAGAGAGCAAAGTCAGAATCTTGGGGAACACCTGTATTTAGGGGTGGGAGGAGGAAGGGCAACCTCTATAGGGAGCAGAGGAAGAGTGATTAGAAAGGAAAGGAGTAGAGTCAGCTGAGAGCAGTGTTGTCACAGAAGTTGGGGAGGAGAGAGTATAAAGAAAGTACCAGTGTCAGGTATTTAAATATTTCGTAATCTGTAAAGTAATTCCCATTTGAAGATTTGTTATCATTAGATGTTATAGAGAGGTCAGAGAGTGTGAGCACTTTATAAAGGCCATTAGACTTGGCGATTCAATATCAGCAGTAAACCTCAAGATAATAGTTTCAGCACAATGGGTAAGGAGGTAATGATTTTAGTACGGGTAATAGAACTAAGCTTTCTCAAAGTTTGGTGGTGAAAAGATGGGGGGAGAAGGGAGCAGAGTCAAGGGGAAGGTTTTTGAGGATAGGGGAGACAAGGACACATTTGCAAATAGTGGGGAAGCAGCTGGTGGATGGGGAGTGATCATAGATGCAACTATGAAGTTCTGATTGGTGGAACAAGGTTTTGGACGGTCGAGAGGTTAGATTTGGGAAGGACACTTTCCTCTAAGACTGGAGGAAAGATGGAAGAGGTTAGTGAGGATAGAAATTTTGAGGTGGAGAGGAGGGAAATTGGAGGTGTTCAGCTCAAATGACCTCAGTCCTTCTCTCAGAAAAGTGGAGATGAGGCTGTGATTGGGGACGACAGTGAGTTTGGAGTTGGGAACTTGAGGGCCATAAACAAGTTGAGAACAGCCACCAAGGGGAGAGGTTAGCTGAGCCATTGGGAGTCTTCAGCTGATGGCAGCATCTGTTTGTAGAGGATGCAGTGAGAGTTGTTTTGTGACTTTCTCCAGCAATGCTTGTAGCCTGGCAGCAGGAACAGAGGAGATAGTGAGAAGGAGCTTGGTTATTTAAAGGTGGAGATTTGCCATGTGAGGATGACAGAAAGTCACAGGGACAAAGGATTCTAGTGCTCGTGAGTGGCTGGGAAAGTGAGTGAAGGCAGCAGGGGAGAATGGAATGGGAGAATGGGGAGGGTTGAGGAACTGGAGGTCATGATGAAGGGGAAGCCCAAGTATGAGTGAAAGAATGGGAGAAGTGGGGGATGAAAATGTTGTGTTCAGAGAAGAGAGTTCCATCTTGGAGGTGGAATGGTTCTGAAGCATGATGAAGTACAGTGGTAGTTAGGGAAGGTGTGTCAATGGCAGACCCCCTGGAGGTGGCAGCAGTGGCTGGTGATAGAAGAGAAGTGTGTGAGATGGGGGTGGAAAGCCAGTGCTGGAGGATGCCAGCATCTTTGGGGGTCGTCAGGTGACCCCTTGGTGATGGGGGAGGGATGCTGTTTGTGAATTCTAGAAAGGTCTTGGTCCATGGAGGTCAGCTGAGAGCTAGAACAGCAGGGAACTTCAGGAGGACTCTGGAAGGGAGAAAAGGACTCTTGAGACATGTAACTTTCCCTGTCCCTTTTGTCCTGGCCATCCCCCACGCCTGCAGTGTACTCCCTCCTTCCCTCTGCTGCCTGGAGTCCTTCTCCTCTAGGACGAAGCTCAGGCACCTCTTTCTACATGGTGCCTTTCCTGATTCCCTTAGCTGTTAGTGCCCTCCTCCCTAACTGCCTTGTACTTCTTTGTCCTTTTCTTTTCATTCTGCACATACTTACATATGTACTTCTTGTCTCTCCTGTTAGAATGTAAGGTGAAGGTGGGGATTTTTTCATTCTTTGTATTTGTATCCCCAGCACCTGTCACAGTGCCTGGCATACAGTAGACATTTAATAAGTGCTCACTGAATGAATATATGAATGGATATGGTCACTTTTGTGGGTGGCTGAGGAAATACAATCAATCAGTAAACCTTTATTAAGCACTTACTATTTGCCAGGCACTGTGCTAAGTATTAGAGATTCAAAAGAGGCCAAAGACAGTCTCTGCCTTCAGGAGCTCGGGGGAGATAACATGCAAACAAATACATACAAAGCAAGCTGTCTACAGGATAAATAGGAAGTGATCAAATGAGGGAAGGCACTGGAAGGAAGAGGGGTTGGGGAAGGCTTCCTGTAGAAGGTGGGATTTAAGTTGGGACGGAAAGAAAGCCCGGGAGGTCAGTAATCAGAGTGGAGGGGGGGAGCATTCCAGTGTGGGGGGCAGAGAAAATGCTCAGAGCTGAGGTCATTAGGAGGCCTAGCAATGTGGTACTGAAGTAGCTGCAGATGACTGCGGGGGATGAGGTAGAGAGGGAAACTGAGTCTGGTGCTGAAGCCCCTTAGGACACTGTGAAAGTTTTATTTTCTTTCTTTTTTTTATTTTTCATTTTATTTATTTATTTATTTTTACGAAGGTGTTTTAAGACATGAGTAGACAGTAGAGACAAGGCTGGGAGATGATGGTGTAAGTAGGTATTGAGAAGTTCAAAAGAAGGAATGTTGTCTCTCTTGGCATTTCCAAATTACAATGTCTGCCATTCTCTAGAGATGTAAAAGGGATGGTTTTTAGCAAGGCATTTGATTTTACTTCACTTTGTAGATAACTGTACACCTTCATCACCAGGCAGCCCCACCTGCTGCCCTGTGGTCTAGACCATGGCAGGAGCGTAGTTGTTTCAGTATTATTCCTACTTTCTAAGTCCCTGAAGCCCCAAATGGGTTCTAGTGATGACCTTGGCATCAAGAACTCATCTCTTAGAGTCGTCACCTTCTCCTTAACTCCTTGAACTATTGTGGACTTTCTGTCCCTTACTTGAAATAGGCAGGCTGGAAAGTAGATGAAAAAGAACCTTAAAATTAACCAGGTGGTCAGGAATTTATTGATTACATTGCTGTGCATAGCCCTAACACCGTGCTTAATGCTGGGCAGGAGGCAAAAAAAATGTGAGACAAGCATGTCCCTGTTTTTGCTCTGCATATAGTAGGCACTTAATCTGTTTGCTTTATTAGAAGAGACAAGGTGAGCCTGCACAAAGCAATTGAGACTCCTCTCAGATGGTAAAGTGTGGAATTGAATGCCAAATTGGGTGGTTCAGGTTTTAGGTTTTCAGAGAAAGGAAAAGGCAGAGCTCAAAGTGGACTGAAACCCTGTTCGGGACCACCGTGAAAGAGGCAAGACTCAGAATGGGTTTTGAAAAATGAACAGAAGCCTTTAAAAAAAACAACAAAATAACAGAACTGTGCATGTGCAGAATAACAGAACTGTTCATATGCATAATTACTTTAAAATTCTTGCTTGTATTTTGTTGATGAAAATACATTTAAAATAAATCACATTAAATTTTTTTGTGTGTGATTTTGGGATTTTTTTTTCACTTTTTTAAAAAAATGTGGGTAATTGGTATGTGTTAGGTGGTAGTGGGAAGCAGCATGAATAGCGTGAATTTAGTCTAGGGAGTGGGCATTTATGGCAGGGGTGTGTGTATGTGGGGGTGATTGGGTTTCCTTAAAGCAAAGTATCCTTTGTGGGTGAGGAAATCTGGCTACTTTCTTTGCAAGACAAATTGAATTTGTTTTTATGTCCAAGTTAATTTGTGAGCAGCTCAAAAGTGATGTGTAACTTCATCCATGTGATTTAGAAAGTTGATACAGCCATACCTCTGAAGGCATGTTCTGTGTGCTACAGGTATGGAGGGAATTGGAATCTAGGAAAGGAAAATAATACAGGCAGATCAGATGAGTTAAAAATTAACTTCTTGTTCTTTTTATCTTGTATTCCATAGATAGTGTTGTGTCAGAATAATATCCATAATCAATCTCACATGAACCGAGTGGTCACTCATGAACTAATCCATGCATTTGATCATTGTCGTGCTCACGTCGACTGGTTTACTAATGTCAAACACTTAGCCTGTTCAGAGGTAAGGCATAGCTCTTTCTGTTTGGTCAATCTAATTCTTGACTTTAGTTTTCTTAAGTATGAGACCTTTCATAATACTCATATGTATTATTCAAGTATAATGTAGATCACTAATTTTCTGTCATTAATTTTATTTTCGATTAACAAACATATATTCCCCCCCCCCATCTCTTTTGGTCTTTGAGCTAATTAAGTTATAAATATCTAAACAGATTTTGAATTTCAGCACATACTTCTGAGTAGCTTTTAACACTGTTTCTAGTGTAATCAGTGATTCAGATAGTGACAATAATTAAATCTTGGTGCAGCAAATTATTAGTTCATTATTTGGGGAAAACAGGGCATTCTGGTTATTCCAGAAATAAACATTTATTTGTGTCTCAAACAGAATCAATAAAAGTAGCATTTATTAAGCACTTTGATTCGTAGTTAAACACATGCACATATTCACACCCAGGTATAGATAACCTGAATAACATTGTTCTGACCACACAGTCACAAAAATTTCATTTGTACATTATCCATAACCTCTCTGTATTGGTATGAAAACTTGCTGTAACATTTTCGGACTGATCAGACACATTTTGGGATGACTGGTAATGATCTGAACCAGTTACGTGAATGCAACTAGTGTTAACTGCCGAGTTGGTCTGCTTAGTGTCCTATTCACGATGTTGATCTCCACCCTAACTGCCCCTTATAACTCTGTTTTATCCATAATGGTGTGGAGCTTATGTAGGTGATTCCTGTTATAGACACATGTATACTTTACATATGCACCTCCAGGGTACAGTTAAATGAGCATGCTAGTCTTAATTAATATTAAAATGATTTCAGGATCTCACAAATTTACATATACCCACAGATCCTGCTTTCTGTATTTCGGTTAAAGTTAATATGCAGCCTCAAATACATTTAATTTTAAGCTGTGTTATTTGGAGAGGAGACTGAAACCTTGGTGAAAACTTGTTAAATATTTGCTTCCCTTGAGTGTTGTGAGAATTAATGCCTGCTTAGCAAGTTAAAATATGTTAAATGCCTTGAATTCCTCTGAGTAATGAGGCTGTGTTGCTTTAAAAATGACAAGGAGTAGACCATTCTGCTTGTGCTGAGCAGATGTCAGGAGGTCTAGTGGTTATTGTATCTGTGTAAATAATTTAAAACTTTTTCATGTATTTGTTGGAATTATTTGTAGGTTACTCTGCATACTTGCGAATACAAACATGGAACAGATGTGCCTGAACTGTCCAGCAGGGCACGTACTTAGTAGAGTCATTTGGGGAGTGTGCTTGATTCCTTATGCTGGAAGAACTGGTTTGTTTTATGTAGTTTAGATTGGGGCAGTAGTTCTGAGATGGGAGTGTGGAAGAGGAATGTCATGTCTTCCGTGGGGATTTGAGATACCACTTTATGTTTATATTTATACAGTAATAGCAATACTGTAAAAACAAATACATTTGAAAACTGTAAGAACTCTGATCAGTGCATTGACCTTCCATGATTCCAGGACCAATAATGAAGCATGCCCCCTACCTACTTCCAGACCAAGAGGTGAGGAATTCAAGGTGCAAAATGAGAAATATGTTTTTTGGACACTGCTGATGAGGGAATTTGTTTTGCTTAACTATGTGTGTTTGTTACAAAGATTTTGGGCCTCTCCCCCCCCCCCCCCCCCCCCCCCCCCCACCCCAGCCACCAGTGGAGTTGGGAGGTAGGAGAGAAAATAGATTTCTGTTAATTAAAAAAAAGATTTGTGACACAGGAACTGGGTGCTTTTAAAAAAAATAACAAAAGCCAGGGACTTTTCTTGGTTATCTGGAGATATTTGACCTAAAGATGTGGTTTAGATTGAGGTGCAACCTCAGACATTTTAGACATTGATGTGTGAACCACATTCATCACTTAAAGATCCCCAGAATGCTTTCTTGGTAGTTTCTAGGAGTGTTTGGGTTTCTGTTTCAACAGTCTGATGCCTTACTTCTGGCTTTAGCAGATAATTGACTATATCAACAAGACCCCAGTGTGAAATTTAAAAATAGCACTTTCTGATAGATGGAGAGAACTTTGTTTGATATCAAGTGTTTTAAATAACATAAAACAGGGAAAAGTATCCTTCCTAAAGGTGTTTGCCACTATCAGGGAGGACACCTAATGCAGATCAAAGAGGGGGGTTCTCCTGATGTTCCTATATATGGGTGACACTTTAGACTGCATCAATCCCTGGTTCTCAAGTGAGAACCATAATCACTCAGAAGAGTGTGACCTAATTACTTATATACAAACAATATGTGTAAATAAAAAAAAAATCTAAATAAACAAACAAAACTAAATAAATAAAAACAAGTGAATGAAGCATGTCTACTGGTCATATTTCACTATTATGTGAAATTCAAATAATAGAGCCAGTCTATCAATACATATGACTTGGGGATACACCTGAATGGAAGGTGATCTGGGCCCAGAATTGGCAAGAAGAAGATTTTATTGACTTGAAGCTTCTTCCTGAAAGACAAAAAAAATTTTTTTAATATACCAAACAAACAAGAAATAACATGATGGACAAGGTGACTATATGATTGGCAGATTTTTAAAAAAATCATATTAATGTTTTTAAACATTATTGTCATTTCCCAATATTTTTTTCTTTGTGACAAATAGATACAGGTAAGCAAAACAAATCGACAGTACTGCCCTCAGTCCACACATTAGTCTACCTTGTACCTGCACAACTTGGTAGTAGGTAGGAGTCAAAATTAAAACAGGCTCAACTTCTTTAGGCTGCAGGTTGCTTGGACTAGAGACAGACTGATGATGGCTGGTTGCTATGGGTCACGTGACAAATAAGAGAGTGCACAATGGCAGCCTTATGGGCCACCCAAAATCCTTTGGTGGGCTGTAAGCAGCTCATGGGTGGTATGTTGGGCAGGCCTGGTTTACCACCTTCCTCATGGTTGAGTGAATTTTCTACTTCATCTGGATGTTTGGCAGCAATGAAACCCAGCCTATGGCTACAGAGTTTTTTCTTTTATTCTCATTCTGTTTCTTTAATAGAAAAAAAGGTTTGTAACAGTTTTTTGAGTCAACTGTACTCATGTATAGTAATAGCTTATTCTTATCCTAGGTTTTAAATTGAAGTATATTTTCTGATATTTCCACATTAATTACAAAAAATTATATCTTTCTCATTAAAGTTAGCTCTGAGCCCCTGACCAGGTTGATTAAATATTAAATATTTTTATTATATAAATTGGAGAAACCACTTTCTCCATAACCACTTGCTCATCTCTCTTTATGTATTAAACCCTCTAATATCTTAGGCTTAAATACATATTGGTGTTACTAGCTGTACTATTTATTAGTAGTGTACCAAGCAGTTAAACAAAGACATAAACATTTATGATAGATCAGCTATGGGAAAGATCACCGTCAAAGTCACTTGTATCCATCACTTTACTTTCTGACTTCTCCTTAATTCTGGAAACACAGTCCCACATTAAATTCTTTCTGGATGCCAGTTAATGTCTCTCCTTAAGAATTCTCTTCATGCTTTTTTCAAGATAAGGGCTAAACCCAGTTCTTTCAGGAAATAGGTCTTCTGAGGCTTTAGGAAATAAGTCTTTTTTAGGCTTCTCTGTGCAACCTCTCCAGGATGGGGTAGCTTGATAGTACAGTGGATAGAGTGCTGCACCTGGTGTCAGGAAGACTCATCTTCCTGAGTTCAAATCCAGCCTCAGACACTTACTAGCTGTGTGACCCTGGGCACGTCACTTAACCTCACTTGCCTCAGTTTCCTCATCTGTAAAATGAGCTGGAGAAGGAAATGGCAAACCACTCCAGTATCTCTGCCAAGAAAATCCAAATACGGTCACAAAGAGTCAGATGTGACTTAAATGACTGAACAGAAACAACCAGAATGACACAGGCAACCCTGTTTCGTAGGAGAAGTGGGGAAAAACCCACACTATAATCCAAGACTCTGGCTTACATGTGGCATGTGCCATGTTGCTTCACCCTCCTCACTAGATCAGCCCCAGCTGTCCTTGGTTGCTCTGCTTTGTCCCCACAGACTGAGAGTTGAACTGTCCCTTCAAGATTCTGTTGCCTCTCAGGATGTCTGAAGTCTCTGGTGGGAGTGTCTGTGGTCTCTGCCGGAGGAGCCTTCAAAGCTGGTGTTAATCTCACTGATTTTTGTCTTTTATAACTGCCCCCCCTTTCCTCCTTCCCCACCATAACAGAACCCTCCACTGTAACCAAAAGGAAAAGCTAAATAAAATAACTATCACAGAGACCACATTTGACTGGGTGTACAATACTCTGCACTGGTCGTCCACCACCTTTCTTCTTAGAATAGTGCTTGTTTTTTTTCTCAAGAACTTCCTTATTATGCAGATATGCTTTATCTTTAATGTCTTATGTATATGATGTCCCCAGAGATTTTTGAGAAACCCTGTACTTTCTCTTGGAAAAAATGGAATGATCTTGTTCCCCAACTAATTTTTTTTTAAACAGATGGTATATCGAAGATATGATATAGGCAGCATGAGCATTGCCTTCCCTTTTAATTGTCTTCTATCTTTGTGGTAGGTTCGAGCGGCTAATCTCAGTGGAGACTGCTCACTTTCCAATGAAATGATCCGATTTAATTTTGGATTAAAACAGCACCATCAGGTAAGAAACAAAAACAAATCCCTTCTGCAGTGTTGCCAATGGGAAGAATAGGGTTAAAAAAAGTGGTTCTATCTAATGAATGAGGTTTCAGAGCCTTGACAGAAGGGTAAAAGAAGCATGTATGTGTATTGGTAGAAGAATAGTAAATAGATGATGCTTAATGGCTGTTGGGAGTTGCTTAAATATTTGTGGACTAGGAGAAATATATTTCTCTTGTAAATGTCTACGCTGTTAATGAAAGGATGGTCTAATTGAATGGAAATTCTATGTGCGTTCTCTAGGCCTGAGAGCTAGGGAGTCACAATGACATATCTATGATCCTGCTTTCTAAGATATACTCAGACCCAACATGATGGAACCAATAGCCAGCTTGCTAATAAAATGAGAGCCATCCAGCCTTCATGTTCTGAAGTCAGTAGTGTAATAAATTTGGAAGGTGGAATGGATCTGATCCTGGAGTGACCAAAGGAACTCTTAGGATGTGCTGCATCCTGTGTCTGGGTTGGTTTCCAAAGTTAGTCAGGTTTCACCTAAATTACCTAGACCCCCAAGATTTGAAACAGCCTCAGACACGGGGATCTGGAAAATAGGCGATGTTGTTTTCGAGGAGAAACGGGGAGAAGCTCATACTGTAATCCAAAATCAGGTTCCTATTTCTAGCCCCAACTCATGTGAAATATGAAGAAACCCTTGCTATGTTGCTGTGTCCTGCTAATTGGACTAGTCCCGGACGTGCTTCTTCGCCCTGGCCCAGAACACATGCTTCTCCTTCCCCTCTCCCTCCCTTCCCTTGTCACTACTCCCCAGTGTGCTGTCTCCTAGTACTGGAATATAAGCACTTCGAGCGCCAGGGCTGTCTTCCTTTTGAATCTGTATCATCTCACCTGCTCAGCCCAGTGCCTGGCACATAGTAAGTACAGGCTCGTCAGAGAGAGGAGGAAAGGGCCTGGATTGGGAGTCCAGAGACCTCGAAGCTCTGGCATTTATGACTCTGTGATCTTGGGCCAGTCACAACCTTCCTGGGCCTCACGTTCCTCATTTGTAAAATGAAGAGGTTAGACTAGATAAAGAGATGGTGCTGGATTTGGCATCAGAAAAACCAGGTTCAGATTCTGCTTTTGAAACGTAAGCTATGTGATCATGGCAAGTTATGTAACCTCTCTGAGCCTCATTTTCTGCATCTGTGAAATGAAGATAGTATCTACAGCGTTCACTTCATAGGGTTGCTGTGAATCTCCATTGTAATTAAGGTATGCAAAGTATTTTGCAAACTTTAAAGTGCTATGTAACTGTCAGTTATTATAAGCAGCAGCTTTAAGGTTCCTTTCTGCTGTGGACTGTGTGATCCTAGAAGGTAAGATAGACCTTCTAGGTCTATTTCATAGAAATAGTTTCATAGAAAAATTGGAAAGGAGAGGGGAGGGGATCCCTTCTCACTTGTCAGATTTGGCTGGAGAGGGGCAACATGGGAGGTCAACTCACTGGCCAGCTGGTGACCTTGCTAATTAGTACTAAGAAATCGAGACTTTCCTAGGAGGTAGAATGTTTCTTTTTCCTTACATTCATGTATGCTGCCCTGCTACCTGCTTAGCAAAATTTTTATTTAGAATTCTAGATGTTACAGGATTATTTTCATACCCTGTTGCTTTTCCTAACAAATCCTTTTTGGACTGTTTGAAAAAAATGGTTTAGATGCTACTCAGTAATGAGAGATCAGGAAACTCTTCCCAGATACCAGTGAACAGAAAGCAGCTGGTACTGTGGAAAGCCATCACAGGAAGCATTTCCAGAGGATTATTTTTATCACTATAGGATCAGGCATGATTTGATCAAGTTAAGAAATGAAGTTAGTGTTGAAAATTTTGAAAAACTATTAATATTTTTTCATGAGAAATTGGTTTTTCCAGTGGAGGTTAAAGGAAAACTTATTGGCTAATACTAGTACAAATAATAATATTACAGCTAGATTGAAGAGATTGTACACATACATGTGAACTTAGAAGAATTCTATTTAAATTCTTGAGGGAGAGATCTTACATTACAGAAGGAAAGCACCTGATTACCTCGGAGTAGGCATTAAGTGTTTCCGTGAATGAAGCAGAGATCTCATTTTTTCTTTAAGCCCTTGAAGACCCATTAACTAAGGTTATACTCTTAGGTCTAGGCAGATAGCTATACATCAGTGTCAGAGATAAGTAGGTATGTAGTATTGTATGCCATGAAGATTAGTGCTAATATTACCTGTGTAGAATGGAGGTAATCATAGTCTATGTAGTGATTTGCAGGTTATAAAATACTTTCCTCACAATAGCCTTTTGAGGTAGATAGGGTAATATTACATGAGGAAATGGAGGCTCTGTGACTTGGCCATGGTGACATAGCTAATAAGAAACAGAGTTGGGATTTGAACCCTAACGTTCTGACTGGTGCAGCTAGGTGGATTGTTGTATGGATGCTGGATTCTAATTCAGGAGCACCTGAGTTCGTATCCTGCCTCAGATACTTTGAACTCAAAATTCAATATAGCTGTGTCGCATGGAGCAAATCACTTAATCTCTCAGCCTCAATTCCCTCATTTGCAAAATGGGTATAATAATAGCACCTACCCTCCAGGTGCGTTGTGAGAATTTCAAACCTTAAAACATATAAATGCTACTATTATTATTATTTATCAGTATATGTATTTTTGATAGAAAATGTAAACAGGAAATTGTTCCTAGAAAGAAATAGGACGCCTGGCTGTATTGCTTTCAGAAAAATACTAAGGGAACATTAATGACCCTAAATTTCCCCTGGCAACGAAGACACATTTATTAAAAAACAAAACAAAACATGAATATTCTACTGGTGCTGGTGTATTAGTATTATTCAGAGCAATGGACAGCTGCGTGGTTGTGTTATCTAAACGCTGGCTATCGTCACCATCATCTTCCTCATTATCACTAGTGTCTTGAGGGCATGTTTTTGCATTTCTTTGTCTCCCCAGTGTTTAGCACTGTGCCTGTCATGGAGTAAATACTTAAGTGCTTTTTGACTGACTTTTCACTATATCATACTAAATGTAGGCACTTTCTAATCCTTATTTATTTTCATCATTGTGTACAGTTCAGTACCATAGGACTCTGCTGATGATGATAAAGTTCTGAGGGTGTTGAGGGATTTGTTGATTTTCAGAATGTCTAAATGGAGAGAAAAATCACAAAGAAAAAAATCTTGGACTTTAATTACTACCAAAAAAAGGTAACTGAGAGAACTTTAATAACTGCTGACCCATGTGCCTTCTTTCCCATCTATATAATCTTTTAGAAAAATGATTTACATATCTATTTTGGGCATCCTTGATGAGGGTATTAGAAGGCTGGTTTTTGCCAATGATATTCCCCAGTAGACCACATCTTCATCATCTTAGGGTGGACTGAAAGAGGTGGATAGTACACGATCCCACTGCTTGGGGTGTGTTGACTGTAAAAAAGCATTTGATTCAGTGGACCAAAATTTCTCCATCCAACAAGGTCTATCCCATCTGTACATCAAACTTAAAAGATTCTTTGAACTATATAACAGGGATAATCTTTGGTGACACTGTTCATTAATATCAGGTGAGTAATAAAAGAGGGAGATAAATGCTCACCAGGGATGTTTGCTGCTGTCATGGAGGAAATACAACAGTTATAGTGAGGGTTTCTGGATGCTTCAGATAACATGCAGATAACATTTTGCTGGTTGCACAGTCTCAGCAACCTTCAAAACCTCCTGGAGTAGATCTAAGAGTTTGGCTTAATGACCTACACACAAAAAACAAGTGGATGAAGAATGTCTGTCGCTCAGATTATGACATGCAGAAAGATGGACAATTTTTAGAGCTTGCCAACTGATAGTCTGTTGTGCTTGGGGTCAGGAAGACCTGAGTTCGAATCTTGCTTCAGACACTAGCTGTGCAACCTTGGAGATAATATTAGCACCTTCCACACAAGGTTGTGAGGATCAAGTGAAATAACATGTAAAGTGCTTTGCAAATCTTAAAGCATTATATAAATACTATCATTATCATTCTTCTTCTTCTTCATCAGTATATATATTTTCAACAGAAAAGGTAAATAGGAAATTGTTCCCAGGAATAAATAAAAGGACTGGCTGTATTGCCTTCAGGAAAATACTAAAGGGAACTTTAGTGACCCTAAATTTTTCCCAGCCTCAAAAATATTTATTTAAAACAAAAAACAACACAAATATTTTACTGGTGCTGGTGTATGGCTGTGAGTTAAAAGTTAGTATTACTCAGCAGTGGATAGGTGCGTGGTAGATGTGAGCAGGCTGCCACACGTAGGAAATAAGGAGCTAAGCATTCAACAAGTACTAAAGGTCTTCTCTGTAATAGGCACTGGGGATACAGATACAAAAAATGAAATAATTTGGTTTTCAGGGACTTTAAATTCTAATTGGGGATACAAGAACATCTGTAAGTATACACAGAATGAATACCAGGTAGCTAGGGAGGACACTAGCAGTTGGAAGAATCAGTCAAGTCAACCACAAGGCAAGTCAGTAACCCTCTATTAAGGCATTGAGGTGGTGCAGTGGATAGAGTGCTTAGCCTGGAGCCAGAAGACCTGAGTTCAGATCCAGCCTCAGACGCTTACTAGCTGTGTGACCTGGGGCCAGTCAAAACCCTGTTTGCCTCAGTTCCTAATCTGTAAAATGAGCTGGAGAAGGAAATGGCAAACTACCCCAGTATATTTGTCAAGAAAATCCCAAATGGGTTCATGAAGGGTTGGCCATGACTGAAACAACTGAGCAACAACCTTGAAGTGTACACTCAGTGCTGGGCACTGTGCTAAGTGTTGGAAGATAGAAAGACCAAAACAGTTCCTACCATCAAGGAGTTCACATTCTGATGGGGGGAGACAGCACATACAAGGAAAGTGGGAGGAAAGGAAAGGCGGAGAAGAAGGTAGAGGTGAACTCTGAAAAAAAAGGATGTCATGGCGAAACGTATGATT